GAAATGTGAATAGGCCAGGGCAGAAGGTGAGATACCATAACTGTTTAGCACACGTTTGGTCAAAGGATGACTCCAGTTGTCCATTTGACGAGTTGTACTATGGTGCTACGAATGGCGAGACTCACTGACGATGCCGACTATGATGCCGGCGAAACGTTTGGGAATGTACCGCGTCCACTGTCCGACTTTGGAAATAATTATGCATACAATGGACTCAGGACGAGGTGCGTTCCTATTACTCTTCCTACCAAATATGACCAAGCTGCGAAAACAAGGTCAAACAACTTCTATACAACGGAAGGAGACTGCGACCACAAAAAAAGACCACACCATCTTGGTCTTCATACCTTCAATTGAATATATTTAACCTTTTTAATGAGGTATCCCTTCTATCGCCTAGTGCTGATCTCCCATCCCTTACTCCCACTCCCGTTAGCTGAGCCTTCTCTTAAGATGATAAACTTCAAACGCCTTTATAGAATTTACTGACCTCCCTTTAGCAACTTCGTTGACTTCCTTTGTCATGATAGTCATGAAAACTGCCAACTCCTGCATCTTGGCAGAATATATTCCCAGGCGTCAAGTCGGAATCGTAACCGCAGCGTTACTAAACTTTGCCAAATTTAGTACTAAGCTAAAACTCGCCAGAGAGATGAATGAAGTCAATCATCTGATTACCTATCTTCTGAAAGCTTATGGTTGCTCTCTTCATTTTGCTCTGGTACATTAACCCTTCTCATTTGCACATATCTTCCCTCCTCCGTATCACCACTTCTAACCTGTTTATTCTGAGTTAAACCAATGATTCATATGTGGATATTTCTTACCGTCTTGCCTATTTAATTCTGTAATAGACCAGCTTTTAAGCTTTTCAAATTGCATCAATTCGCTTACGAAGAATGCTTTCTGGTCCTTCGTGCCCACTCGGATGTTCCTGTTTTTCAAGACAGCTTGCAATTTTTGACTCACTTTACATATTCAACATTTGCAGACATGAAAACCAAGATGACATGGCCTTTTGACTGGTCGCAGTCTCCTTGAACAGAAAATTAGTCACTTGTCACGTTGACCAGTTATAACTCTGTGCTAAAGATGCCGCCTCCGACTACGCTGCTTGCGAGACGTCTAGGAATGTACCAAGTCAACGGTTCGATGTTGAAAATCACGAATAATATGACAGAGGAGGCAAGACTAGGTAAGTTCAACAAGGTCTCCCTTAGGCTCCGACCAAGTTGCCTTTTGTCGTCTTTCTTCCCGCTTATTTCTCTTCTATAAGTTTCTTGTCAATTTTGGATGCCAGCAAAAGGCATAAACCTGTCGGTTGTTTCTATGTTATCCTAATAACTTTCTACTTGTAAATATGAGATGTATTCATCCAATTTT